GTGAAATGGGATATATGCAAAGCAGTTAAGGAAAGGGGTGGGCTGGGTGTTCTGGATATGGAATGTATGAACTTGGCTTTGATTGCTTAATGGTTCTGGAAGTATGCCTCGGAAACTTCTTTTTGGTGGCGAAAACTCATTGATTGCAAGTTTCCACAACCTGTTTCCGAGTGGAGAGCTGGCTCTGGTAATGGCCCGATTGGATGTTCAATTTGGAATTGTATTATGAAGGAGGAAGGCTTTTTTCTAGAAGCATGCTTATATTGATCCAGGTGGTGGAGCGTGGGTGTCATTTTGGAAAGATTGCTAGATTCCGGGGAAGATCCTGAAAGACGCCTTTCCTAGGGTGATGGCTGCATCTTCAAACCGGGATGCTTGGGTGTCTGATCACATATCCTTTTTCAATGAGAGTGTGGGATGGAATCTTTCACTTTCACTTTCCTTAAGGGGTGGGGCTGAGCGTGAGAGGAATGAGCTGTTGAATTGTTTATCTCTGTTACCTCCTGATTTCATTAATGCAGGTCCAGCTGAACTTATGTGGAAGCCTTGTCCTGATGGTGGGTTCTCGGTGAGGTCCTGTTACCGTACCATCATAAAAGAAAGATTTAATGGCACGGACAATTTCACTCATAAGGCGGTGTGGCGTCCTGAGGTCCCAACGAAGGTGAACGCGTTCATGTGGCTGTTGGTCCACAATCGCATCCTTACTCATGACAATTTGAAAAGGAGAGGATGGAACATTGTGAGTCGGCGTGCCTTATGCAATATGGAGGAGGAAACAATGGAACATCTCTTCTGTCATTGTCGTTTCAGTTGTAGGATTTGGTCCATTCTTATGCAAATGATAGAGCTCCACGGGCCTTTCCCTCAGCGCTTTGCAGACATTATCAGAAGCTGGGATTTTAGCAACAAGCTTAATAGGAAAGGGGCTCTTAGGTCTGGTCTTCTCCACGCTTTCTCCTGGTAAATCTGGAGGGAACGGAATGCCAGGTTTTTAGAGGACAAAAGCTGCTGCTGGCAGATCATTGTTCACAAGATTTGTAGATCACTGCTGAATTGGGTCTGGGTGACTGGAACCCATAGTGAGCAACGGTGCAAAGTTATGGTTGTTTAAAGCTAGGTCTGGTCTTACAATTCATGAAGTTCAGATTTTGGAGCACAAAGTTATGGTTGTTTAAAGTTATTGAGCTCCAAAATCCGAACGTCATGAATTTTTTTTTCATTTCGCATAACTTTTTAAGGACTACAATTTTTACTAGGAATGAATTTTCAAAACAGGAATTATTTTTGGATATACAGGATTTTTGGAATAGCTTACCTTCCATTTTTCAGCAATCAACGTACATTTTGAAATTATGTCTATGATAAAAGTTGTATTCCTTAAAAAATTTATGCGAAAAAAAAAATTCATGTCGTTTGGATTTTGGAGCACAGAGTTATGGTTGTCCAAAGTTTGACGAAATCGGAAAATAGCTCGTTCGGGGTAGCAAACGACATTTTTCGGGATGAAGGCAGGACCAAACCACCTTCAGCAGTCTTCGGCTTGCAAGATCTCGAAAAGTTATGCGTAATAAAAAAAATCACGACGATCGGATACCCGAACACAAAGATACGTTCGTTTGAAGTTTCCACCTAGGTTAGGATTTTTCAACAAAAAAAACCCATGGTGGGGGTGTTGTCTGCAAACAAACCGCATGTTGGGGATGCGGTTTGCAACCAAACTGCCACGACCCCATGTGGTTTGCAAAACCGCCCCCTACCAGTGCGGTTTTTTCCTAAACCGCTGGTACAGGTGGCGGCTTTTGGGCAAGGGTGCTATTTTTGAAATTTTTCAGAGTTGGATACTATTTTTGGAATTTTTTTTAAACAGTGCTATTTCTGGAAAAATCCCTCTAATTAACTTGTTTCATTCGACTGTAGTTGAACTATGTGTCTTAATGAAAAGGCAAAAGGAGAGTATTTTTTTCTCCCCAAATTTTCCTTGGACATTTTGTTGTGAAATCTTCACAAAACCATTAACAAAAACATGTTTGTTGGAACTTCCTAAATAATCTTACAATAATAAGCAATGAGTTTTTATTAATCATTCTTCTCTATTATTTTTATATCCAACATATTTTTGTACTTGGAAAAAATTATCAAACATGCTTTTGCGTTAAAATTTTCATCGAAAAATCGTCAACCACATGGAACCATGATTTTGGATGACGCAAATGTCTAAAATACTTATAATAATTTCCGTTTACTACCACCTTTTCTGTAACTTAAAGAAGAGAAAAGTTCCTTTTTACCTGTCATGTGGTGGGAGCAACCACTATCCAGGTACCATGTGTTTTCATTTTCTCCCAAACTCTGCAATCAGTCATAGATTAGCACATTTTGGTATCCAAAATGTTTTGGATACAACTGGTTTTCTGGGATTTAGATCATAACCGAATTTTGCTACATGTCCTTTCCTTTTATAATAGGAGCAGGTGAAAATTACTGGGTATTTCGAGTACTTTCTATGTTTAGCATAGTTATGCTTGGTGATTCTTTTTTGAAAAGAAGTTCTGATATTATAACTTGAATTAAGTATACCAGGATCTCGTTTTATAAAAGTCGTGTTGTTTTTGCATATACTTCTTAGCCTCCGATTCTCATCCTTGAGATCAAAGACTTGTCTGTTCAGCTCCTTATTCCATTCACTTTGAATATTTAAGGTTCTTTTTAAGGTTGAGATTTTATCTTTTTGAGCTTGATTATCAGTCATTAACATACAATACTTACTTTTGAGTCTGTTACATTCCTCTTGAAGATTGGTTAGCTCATGCAAAAACTCAGTTTTTGTTTCAGCTTTATCTGTGTCTGATTCTGAGTCAGAGATTACCTGGTAGCATGAAGGAACAAGAGGACCATGGTTGGATGAAGACTGGTTGTCGCTTTCATCTCTGGTAGCAAACGCCATGTACGCCAGGTTTTTCACTTCTTGCTCCTCTTCTGAACTAAAATCACTCCAGGAGGCTGCAAGTGCTTTCTCCTTTGCTTTGATGCTAGTAGGACACTTTGATCTCATATGTCCAGACTTTCCACACTTAAAACAGATTGTTAAATCCTTCTCATTGGAAGACTTAGTGTCTTCCTTATCAAATCTGAACCTTTCTCGACCTTCAGAAAGTCTATCATAAGATTTAGGAGAATTCTTATCAAAATAACTCTTATTTGATACATATCTATCATTTGTTTTAGTAGGAGCTCTCTCAGTTCCTTCCCTATCTCTTTTATAGTCATAAGAGTGATTATTGAATCCTCTGGAATCATGAAATGACCTTTTTGCCTAAAAATCCTTCTTCATTTTGAGCATCCGATGAAATTTTCTACTGACTAGAGTAATTCTTTCTCAAATTCCTCTCCCATGTCAACTTCAGAATCACTATCGCATTCTTGTGCTTTGAAGGCTATAACTTTTCTCCTCCTATGATCATCTTTGTTCATTTTTATTATAACTTCCTCATGACTCAACAAGGATCCTATTAGCCTTTCTATAGATAGAGCCTTTAGATCTTTGGCTTCTTCAATTGCAGTACGTTTAGGCAACCATTCTCTAGGAAGACACCTCAGTATTTTCCTGACTAAATCCTTGGTTTCAAAAACTTTTCCTAGTCCTTTTAACCTATTTATCAAATCATTGAATCTTTTGTACATACTAGAGATTGACTTTCCTGAGCTCATTTCAAATGATTTATATTCATTCAGCAGCACATCTATTCTACTCTCTTTAACTTCAGACGTACCTTCGTGGGTGGTCTGAAGAGACTCACATATCTCCTTGGCTGACTCACATTGAGCCACTTGACTCCTTTCTTCAGGGCTTAGTGTAGAGAACAGAATGTGCATAGCTCTGGAATCAAGCTGAGAGGAGATTTTCTGCTCTTCTTTCCAGTCTTCTTCATCTTCATCTTCCATGGGAATTGGTCCTTTTCTGACTACTGCCCATAATTCTCCATCAACACCACGAAGGTAAATTCTTTTCTTTTCTTCCAAACGGTGTAGTCCGTTCCATCAAACCATGGAGGGTTTGTATTTGCTGAGTAGGCCACTGCTGTTGAAGATGATCCTGACATCTCGAGACCTTCTCTTTGGCGACGATTAATTCCACAAAGAGTAGGCTCTGATACCAATTGTAAACTCAAGATATAAGATGCAATCAACAAGAGACTTGAACTATTGGTTTTTAAGACACTCTCTTGTAATTAAAAGAAGAAACAGTTTTATTGAAATTGCAAATTGGGGATCGAACAGTACAGAGAAACCTAGCCAAGCCAAGTAACTTGGCTCTTTTGGTAAACAAACACTCAACACACTCACTTCCCAAGATTGGAATCACCCAGTACACTCCCATACACTGTGATCCTATCTACTGAAGCAATTTCACCCTTTGACCCAAAGTAGAAGAGATTCAAACCCAGAAACTCTCACAACTCACTGTCAAAAGTACAAGTTTTAAATGGGCAGAAGGCTTACAATTTATACTGATAGCAATGAATAACCGTTGCCTAATGGGGAGCCTTCCCTAGCCTTCATCATACTTCCTTATAGAGACGGTGCTAGGTGGAGCGGATGCTGAAAAGTTGAAGCTTCCGTTAGAAAGAAAACGACCGAGAGAGATGATTCGAGAGATCATCAATCGAGGAGTCCATTCTTGACTTCGAAGGATGATATATTGAAACGATGTCGTTGAGAAGTAGAGATGCACTAGCAGAATGATGGCAACGAAACGTCGTCGTAGAAGATGCTCCGTTGAGAGAGATACTACGCCGTTTTAGAGTCAACAAAATATTCTTGAAGTCCCGATTGTTCGCCAATTTCGGATTTGGTAGTTGAAGAAGCGCTCTGCTACTCCACTATCCAGAGGAAGCGGTTCTGATGCTCGGCTACTTCGATTCCTTGGGAATGAAACAGATGAGATATTGTCGGTAATCTCTTCTCCTTCCCCGATCTGGAAGCGATTGGATTCACCTCGTAGAGCAGCGATCGGATTCACCTCGTCTCCTCGCTCCAATCGCAGCAATTTGATCGCAGATACTATCGCCGCCGCCGCCGCCGCAGGAACTGCGATGCTTTCTCCTTCGTCTTCGTCGCAGCTTCACCACGGTTACCACAACCACCACCAATACGTAGCATATGTGAAATCCCTAAATTCCAGTCATCCATTTTGCTGTGGAAGAGTCCGCTCCGAGCCCTAATCTCGATCGAGAATCGCACTGCTCGATGCCTAGCTATGAAGTCCAAAGTTCTCAACTCGCCATTGAGAATCGCTCTGCTCCAATCCCTAGCCATGGCGTCCAAAAGCTCTCGACACGAGGATCATTGAGCCGTTTCCCCTGTTTCAGCAATCTCGTAGTGGTCGAAGGCGGCCTCTGGTGGTTGTTGCGTGAAGTCGCCGACTTCAAAGCCTCTGGTGAGTCCGTCGTATTCTTGACCTAGTAATCTGTAACTGATCGTGGCAATGCCTGATTCTCCAGCTTCTGTGAAGGAGTGACTTCAGTAGGATTGTTGATTGACCTTATAATCTGCAACTGATTGAGTTTGTGTTTCAGACCTTAATCCACCTGTATTTCTTGAATTTGCTTCCTCTCAGTAACGTTAATGTGCCACTACAATATGGTTATTGTCCTTTTGTTGTTAAGGTTTTGAACTGGAACTTGATTCCATTGATGATTAACCTTATAATATTGTTGATTCCATTGAGCTCTAGTGTTCAATTGCCTCTCCCGATTCTGCTTCTCCTTTGCAAGGTTTTTGTGCTCTCTCCATTTAGTTCGTTGTAGTTTAAATTCTCACTATGGATTTTGATCTGGTAGCAAGCTAGCCATGGACCACGAAATGGATTGTGATTTTCATGCAATTGAAAATACCTTCAGATTTTGGCGCCTGCTTGGGAATTGGTCTTGTGTTGATATTTGAAAGTAAAGGAGAATCATGGATCTTCTGCAACTCCGAGAAGCAGGTCATTGTACCTCAAGAATTCCACTTCGGAATAGATGTAAGAATTACACTTCTCATTTCTTAAGCTTACTAGTAGGAAGTTTTTGTTTAACATGACACATATATTTTGTAGCCTTAACTTTTGTTGTTATAGAAATTGGAAGAGTGAATGTTTGATCTTTGATTTAGAGTTGGGCCACGCTATTGTTTCTAGAAAGTGAAGTTTGTTTTTGTTTTACTTCCATATGCTTTTGTTGTCCATTTTATGTTGAATTTGGTAACGTGAATTTGATTTTTTATTTCCATTGAAACATCCCAGAAACTCAGGTCTACAATCTAGGGATTGTGATGTGCAGCAAGGTTGGTAGAGAGAGTTTAGAAGAACAAGTTTTTGGCTACAGGGGCTGAAGCACACACGGTTTCCTGATTGTAGCACTAGGTGAACAGAATTGTTGATACTAGGAGCTTTCAACTATAGATACATAATAGCTTTTGTTTCAACTATGGATACGTAATAGCCAGAAAAGGTATTTTGCGCCAGGAAAAGTCTTCTTTACCAATTGTCCTAATCTAGCCTTTGCCTCACTTCCCAGCGGCAGAGAGCTACGGCTTGGAAGGCTTGGAGCTTAATGGTCTTTGAGAAGCATGAGGACTACAAGGTACAAACTGAATGCCATTTGTTTTCTTTCTTTGCAAGCCACTCTGTATATGTGTCAACTAAGTTGATGTCATCCGATTGTTCAAATACTGAAATAGATAGACTACTAAATTACTGCCCACAATTTTTCTAGTTCAAAGGGCGAATGGAGAAGGGCATTGATCATTATATGATAAGTTTAATGCTGTGTGTAGTTATTTATTCCATCACTTTGTTTTATCGAGACTTTCTCTCTATCCTTCCTGCTCCTGGTAGCTCTCTTCTACACGATATTGACTCACTCCTACTGTCACTCTAGAAAATGGCCAAGTTTAACCACTTCCTAAAGCGTAGTATAGCGGGTTTGGGTTTTAAAGTCAACCCGGGTCCTAGATGTGATGACTACTCAGTGAATTCTTATTATCTAGCAGTGAAACTTTAGTGCAGGTTCAAATAAGCGAACAAGC